TAGACCACCACATGCTTATCAGTTCATCCTTAAACCATAGTGGATGTTTGTGCCAAATTTGAGGCAATTTCCTCAAAATGTTCTTGAGATATCGTGCACACAAGAATGAGACAGATGAAAGGTAGGATGTTGACTGCTGACCTTTGATCACCAAAATCTTATCAATTCATTCGTACGTCCAAGTGGGTGTTTGTGCCAAATTTGTGGAAATTCACTCAAGGCATTTTTGACATATCTTGTTCACAAAATTAGATAAACAAATGTCATGCTAACCTTTGACCTCTGACCACCAAATTCTAATCAGTTCATCGTTGTGGATGTTTGTACAAAATTTGAGGAAATTTTTTGTTTTGCTCTTGTCCTTGAGATATCATGTTAACGGGAATGGGACAGACGTACAGTACAGGCCAAAAGTTTGGACACACCTTCTCATTCAATGCGTTTTCTTTATTTTCATGACTATTTACATTGTAGATTCTCACTGAAGGCATCAAAACTATGAATGAACACATGTGGAGTTATGTACTTAACAAAAAAAGGCGAAATAACTGAAAACATGTTTTATATTCCAGTTTCTTCAAAATAGCCACCCTTTGCTCTGATTACTGCTTTGCACACTCTTGGCATTCTCTCCATGAGCTTCAAGAGGTAGTCACCTGAAATGGTTTCCACTTCACAGGTGTGCCTTATCAGGGTTAATTAGTGGAATTTCTTGCTTTATCAATGGGGTTGGGACCATCAGTTGTGTTGTGCAGAAGTCAGGTTAATACACAGCCGACAGCCCTATTGGACAACTGTTAAAATTCATATTATGGCAAGAACCAATCAGCTAACTAAAGAAAAACAAGTGGCCATCATTACTTTAAGAAATGAAGGTCAGTCAGTCCGGAAAATTGCAAAAACTTTAAATGTGTCCCCAAGTGGAGTCGCAAAAACCATCAAGCGCTACAACCAAACTGGCACACATGAGGACCGACCCAGGAAAGGAAGACCAAGAGTCACCTCTGCTTCTGAGGATAAGTTCATCCGAGTCACCAGCCTCAGAAATCGCAAGTTAACAGCAGCTCAGATCAGAGACCAAATGAATGCCACACAGAGTTCTAGCAGCAGACCCATCTCTAGAACAACTGTTAAGAGGAGACTGCGCCAATCAGGCCTTCATGGTCAAATAGCTGCTAGGAAACCACTGCTAAGGAGAGGCAACAAGCAGAAGAGATTTGTTTGGGCCAAGAAACACAAGGAATGGACATTAGACCAGTGGAAATCTGTGCTTTGGTCTGATGAGTCCAAATTTGAGATCTTTGGTTCCAACCGCCGTGTCTTTGTGAGACGCAGAAAAGGTGAACGGATGGATTCCACATGCCTGGTTCCCACTGTGAAGCATGGAGGAGGAGGTGTGATGGTGTGGGGGTGTTTTGCTGGTGACACAGTTGGGGATTTATTCAAAATTGAAGGCACACTGAACCAGCATGGCTACCACAGCATCCTGCAGCGACGTGCCATCCCATCCGGTTTGCGTTTAGTTGGACGATCATTTATTTTTCAACAGGACAATGACCCCAAACACACCTCCAGGCTGTGTAAGGGCTATTTGACCAAGAAGGAGAGTGATGGAGTGCTGCGGCAGATGACCTGGCCTCCACAGTCACCGGACCTGAACCCAATCCAGATGGTTTGGGGTGAGCTGGACCGCAGAGTGAAGGCAAAGGGGCCAACAAGTGCTAAACACCTCTGGGAACTCCTTCAAGACTGTTGGAAAACCATTTCAGGTGACTACCTCTTGAAGCTCATGGAGAGAATGCCAAGAGTGTGCAAAGCAGTAATCAGAGCAAAGGGTGGCTATTTTGAAGAAACTAGAATATAAAACATGTTTTCAGTTATTTCACCTTTTTTTGTTAAGTACATAACTCCACATGTGTTCATTCATAGTTTTGATGCCTTCAGTGAGAATCTACAATGTAAATAGTCATGAAAATAAAGAAAACGCATTGAATGAGAAGGTGTGTCCAAACTTTTGGCCTGTACTGTACGTATGTACCTACAACCCAAAAACACAATGCCTACGGCCACAGCTATCACTGGTGCAGCGGCATGAATAGATAAATAAATAATTTACAGATAAACAGCAGGGTCGGCTGTTTGGGCCTGAACATCTGACAGAACAGGGAAACACCGACAGGGAACACTTAACTGCACTGTACATACCTTTACTTCGGTAAAGTAACTTTTAATTGTAGCTGAGTATTTTCACAGAGTGAAGGATGTGAGGTCGTAGAGCGACAGACAGGAAGACACAGACATGTGTAAATGTAGTTTTTGTCTTTTATTATGAACGTAAACACTCAGACATCAGCAGAGACACAGCAGCACATCACAGCTTTGACATGACTCTGTACGTTAGCATGTGCTGATACACGCAAAGTGTATCAAAGTGTGACGACAGTGACTGAGATGAGTCTGAGATGTCCCTAAAAGGCCACCGTTAAAGATAAACCCTTTGATTTTTGGTTACAGCCTGACTTAGTTGTGCCTTGTGTTGTTTAACAGCCTGGAATAAAAGTTTTTACACATTAACCTCCATTAATCTGATCCAGGACCAGCTGATACTGGCCGCAGCTCGCCGTCCAGTACTCTGTAATATAAACACTCTGTCCTCGCGGAGCTGCTGATGACGAGGTCACAGACTTTTATTGTTGTAACCCTGAACGCAGCATGAACAGAGCTGTGTGTTCTGTCAGGACGTCGACATGTGAGTCTGGTTTGGTGCTGATGAGCAACACGGTGACAGCAGCAGCACATGAGCAGCGTTTACAGCCGTCAGCTTCATCTTAACGGAGCCACTCGCTGAAGCTGAGGAGGACAAACAGCTGCTGCCTGATACTAAACTATCACACTGAAGTTTTCACCTCCATCCTGACAAACATCCAAACTCCACCTGTAAAGGTCTTTACACACTGGGGGCGAGGTTTTTGTGTGTGTGATCAGTATGGTTTTGTCTCGAGTACTTCTATACAAAACACAAATATTACGCTGCAAATAAGCAGCTTCATTTCTTTGGAACAAGGTTGATTTTTCTGAGCTTTCACACAGAGTGAGGCATCAAGTAGATTCAAGGGGTGTAAATCAGTAGTGTCATCATGATATTATATCAGTTCTCTGGACAACAATGCCATATATGATATATGCCAACATTACAAAGGCTGCCATGATACGATTTAGATTCAGTGCTATTTAGGGGCCTGAGATCGATATGAGATGATGCTATATATCATCTAGCAAGTTCTAGCTTCCTATTATTTTTGAGTCACTTAAACGCATCACCTGACCTGGCATCTGGGTAATCTTTAATTAAAGGCAGGTGTGCTGAAGTGAGTGTGGAGTGTGGAAGACGCCACGGGAGTCATGATAAAACAGCCATCAGCAGCTTTAACTGATCTCAGACCAGATCGCTGTAGAAATCTTAAAGTTTCATTACGAGTGTGTCACAAGACGAGTGTTTCACATTTTCACGTTGTTTATTCATCACGTCCCCGCCGTGTAAAGACCTTTAGCGTGGACACCTAACCTGACTTTACCTGGTGGCGTCTTTAAATACTGACCCATCTGTTTACTCATCATCAACTCCTGGATCATAACAGAACATACAAAGTTTCACCAGTGCTTGTTTTAGAAAGGCCACTGCATCACCGATCATCAAACAGACGATGAGTCATAGATGTTTTTTTCTGGACTCTACTCGGTATCTCAAATCTCATTTCACTCATGCACTCATTTCAACAGGATGGTATTGTCTCAAACCGCACACCAGTGTTTTGCACTTCCCAGAAGTGACAATGGCTTTTTTTTTTTTTTCAACCGCCTCTTCTTCTTCGTCTTCTTTTTAAATTGCAAAAAGACGGTGGAGCATTATCGTCAACATTTGACCGCTATCTCCGCCCACACATAAACCGAAAGTACGTCAAGGCTGATTAAAAGGTGCCGTAGCTAGAAGCAAGTTAGCTAGTTAGTGAATGCTAACGTTAGCTAGCAAGCTAATGTTGGCACTCACATTATTGTGTGCCATCACAGACCCAACAAACATTACTGACGGCTTCTATTTGACAACAGTTTTGGTGCTTAGTGCCAAAAACAGGTAGAACTAACAAGCTCCTTGGTGTCTCCAGCCGCCACGTCAAACACTGAGAAGTCTGTTACGTCACAAAGATGGCGACCGTTGAGGATGAGAGGTGTCCATCATTCCACAATCAACTTTTAGACCACTGCAAACACTGCATTCTCCAGACTATACAGTGTAGAGTCTGTAGACGCACTTGTGCACTCAAAATATTAAGTGTTTAGTACGAAAGTATGTGATCTGAGACACACTGCTAATGTTAGTATTAGCTAGAGTTAGCAACATGGCTGCCACTAGCAGAAACCACGGTAAAATTTGAAGTAGAAAACCCCGATGTGACGGCTCTGATGAAGGCGCAGTGAAACATCAGCGTGTATTAAGAGCTTTTGCTGCAATTTATTATTATTACGTGTAATTTTAAAGGCTCATCTCAGGACGAGCACGGCCAACTAATTAGATAATAATAAAAATAATAACATTACACATAAACGCTTTTAAGAAGTCGTTTCTTAATGTTTGAAAAGTTTTTTGTAGACTAATGTACTCTGTGGAGGACAGAGAATAACATAAGTATCAAAAAATAAATGTATTGAATGAGAATAAATAAATAAATGACAGAATAAATAAATGCTTAAATATATATAAAGGAATAAAGAAATAAATGCAGAGATTAGGACCTCCTACCTTATTAACATACAGAAACAGAAATATATAAATAAATAAAAGTAGCTGTACAAACATGTAGAAATACATTTAAAATATATAAATTTGTCCTGTTTCATGATCAACTTTTATTTTAATTTATTAATGCATTAATCTAATTATTTCCATATATATTTTAACATCTATTTTAAATTTTTAATATTTTTAGTGCATTTATTTATTTTTTAATTATTTATTTCTGTATTAATTTATTTATTCTTGTATTTATACATTTATTTATATATTCATTTATTTATCTCTTTAGTCATTAAATTATTTATTTACTCCTGTATTTATTTATTGATACTTAAGTCATGTTTCGTCCTCCACAGAGCTCAGGACATTTGTGGTATCGCTGAAGTTTTTTATAAAAATGTTTGAACCATAATCACCGTCACGACTCTGCTTCATCAGCAGGTGTAAGAGCACAGACGTGTCGTTGGAATGATGAGAAGTGTAATCAGTTGGACGCCTTCATGTGTTCACACGCAGCTTTGACCTGGCGTCTCGTTGGCAGGTTTCTTTTCACCTTTTCTTTAAACAGTACACAGGTGAGGCTGCGGCTCAGAACCGTTTGTCTTCAGGAGGCGTCGCCACGATCACCTCTTTACTCCCAAAGTCCCAGAACGCCGTCATGTGGAACGCCATGTTGGAGAAGACCACCAGGTACTCAAAGAAGGCGAAGAGGGTGTAGACTGTGAGGGCACAGAGGACACAGAGTGAATGAGTGAACAGCGTGTAGACTGAGGACAGCAAGGACAGACGACGGCAGTGGGACGCTCACCTCCTGTCTCACAGTACTTGTTGTGGCGTCTGAAGAAGTAAGCGGCAGCCAGACAACAGCTGATGTTAAACAGGAAGAGACGCATCTTCCAGCGGTATGATGTCATTTCCTGAGACAGACACAGAGAGAGAGAAGTGTTTTAAGTTTTAGATAACCACCACAGAAGAAGAGGAGTACAGACACCCAGTGACGTGATGAGAAACTTGTGAGCTTAACGATCAAGCAGGTTTTTTATCGACTGTTTTTCATGGCATGAATTAGGTATGTCAGCTGGTGGTGTGAAAAATCGATACGGCACAGTAAGGCGATATTTTGCGTGGTGAAAGTGTGTCAATACCCGGACGCAGAGTGTCAATCTTTTTTTCCTATACATTTCTAATTTTTACAAATACAGTACAGGCCAAAAGTTTGGACACACCTTCTCATTCAATGCGTTTTCTTTATTTTCATGACTATTTACATTGTAGATTATCACTGAAGGCATCAAAACTATGAATGAACACATGTGGAGTTATGTACTTAACAAAAAAAGGTGAAATAACTGAAAACATGTTTTATATTCTAGTTTCTTCAAAATAGTCACCCTTTGCTCTGATTACTGCTTTGCACACTCTTGGCATTCTCTCCATGAGCTTCAAGAGGTAGTCACCTGAAATGGTTTTCCAACAGTCTTGAAGGAGTTCCCAGAGGTGTTTAGCACTTGTTGGCCCCTTTGCCTTCACTCTGCGGTCCAGCTCACCCCAAACCATCTGGATTGGGTTCAGGTCCGGTGACTGTGGAGGCCAGGTCATCTGCCGCAGCACTCCATCACTCTCCTTCTTGGTCAAATAGCCCTTACACAGCCTGGAGGTGTGTTTGGGGTCATTGTCCTGTTGAAAAATAAATGATCGTCCAACTAAACGCAAACCGGATGGGATGGCATGTCGCTGCAGGATGCTGTGGTAGCCATGCTGGTTCAGTGTGCCTTCAATTTTGAATAAATCCCCAACCGTGTCACCAGCAAAACACCCCCACACCATCACACCTCCTCCTCCATGCTTCACAGTGGGAACCAGGCATGTGGAATCCATCCGTTCACCTTTTCTGCGTCTCACAAAGACACGGCAGTTGGAACCAAAGATCTCAAATTTGGACTCATCAGACCAAAGCACAGATTTCCACTGGTCTAATGTCCATTCCTTGTGTTTCTTGGCCCAAACAAATCTCTTCTGCTTGTTGCCTCTCCTTAGCAGTGGTTTCCTAGCAGCTATTTGACCATGAAGGCCTGATTGGCGCAGTCTCCTCTTAACAGTTGTTCTAGAGATGGGTCTGCTGCTAGAACTCTGTGTGGCATTCATCTGGTCTCTGATCTGAGCTGCTGTTAACTTGCCATTTCTGAGGCTGGTGACTCGGATGAACTTATCCTCAGAAGCAGAGGTGACTCTTGGTCTTCCTTTCCTGGGTCGGTCCTCATGTGTGCCAGTTTGGTTGTAGCGCTTGATGGTTTTTGCGACTCCACTTGGGGACACATTTAAAGTTTTTGCAGTTTTCCGGACTGACTGACCTTCATTTCTTAAAGTAATGATGGCCACTCGTTTTTCTTTAGTTAGCTGATTGGTTCTTGCCATAATATGAACTTTAACAGATGTCCAATAGGGCTGTCGGCTGTGTATTAACCTGACTTCTGCACAACACAACTGATGGTCCCAACCCCATTGATAAAGCAAGAAATTCCACTAATTAACCCTGATAAGGCACACCTGTGAAGTGGAAACCATTTCAGGTGACTACCTCTTGAAGCTCATGGAGAGAATGCCAAGAGTGTGCAAAGCAGTAATCAGAGCAAAGGGTGGCTATTTTGAAGAAACTAGAATATAAAACATGTTTTCAGTTATTTCACCTTTTTTTGTTAAGTACATAACTCCACATGTGTTCATTCATAGTTTTGATGCCTTCAGTGAGAATCTACAATGTAAATAGTCATGAAAATAAAGAAAACGCATTGAATGAAAAGGTGTGTCCAAACTTTTGGCCTGTACTGTACACATTTTGAGACAACTTTTGGTCCTAGAATAATAAAATCAGTTGCTTTTCGCTCCATTAGATGGTGCTGATGTTTTGTTCCTGGTGAGGTCAGCAGAGGTCTCAGTCTGCAGAATTTAGCAGGAAGTTCATCAAAACAAAGATGGAGGCACCAGAGAAAGAAATCAGAAATGTGCCTTTGGCGTTATTTTGGATTCTTCAACACAGAAGGAGAGGAGGACTTGGACTTGAAGTGTTTGGTTTAAGCATTTAATCTGTCACCTCCGAGGGCGTGAAATCTGCCCACCGTTCAGTCTGTCAGGTGTGTGCAGCATTTCTGACAGGTGTTATGACGGTGTTGGTCAGTCTGTCTGCTCAGTGTCACATTTTGCTGCAATAAAAATGATTAAAGTCGACGAACAGACTGAAAACTTTATCTCAGGAGGTCATAATGATGTTGACAAAGTTTTCCTTTGGGGAAATAATTTGCAGTTGAAAAAAAAAGGTAACAAATTGCAATACTCAGCATATCCCAATAGCATTGTGTTGTGAGCTAAGTATCATGATAAAATCATATCGTAGATCCTCTGGTGATTCCCACCCCTAGTACAAACATTTCTGCGGAGGTGCGGTCAGGCTTCGGCGTCCATTAGAAGTCTCAGAATGTCTCATCAACGCTGACACTGTCCTCTGTTCATTCATACACATATTTACTATGTCAAAAACCTGAGAACACTGACTCAGTGTTAAGATACATTAAACAGTTTTCTGTCCTATAACATAAACCTTATTCTTAAAGAGTGAACACATGCAGGGACTCTGTGGAGCGAAGAGGCAACACAGCAGACGGCCTTAAAGGGTTAAATATTCTCAGGTTGTCCAGGCTGTGTGGGATCCCTGACAATATTAAATATTAAAAGAAGAGGCGGCTTCCTTTGAATCAGCTGGTGAAGGTTTCCTGGAAGCTCAGCGATCACATGATGTGAGCTGCAATCACTGAGTGACACATGAAACAGGGAAGCACTAAAATAAAGCTCAGACAGAGGTTAGATTTAGAACATGTTCATCTATTTCCTGCTCGATTGGGAGAGCCCGAACTGCATTTCAACATGTGATCCTGAAAAAAAAAAAAAAAAAAAAAAAACATCCAGCCAGCAGGTTCCTGCTCTGTTTTAATGACACACTGCTGGTCTGAGAAACATCATCTGCAGTTCCCCTTTCTGTCAAATCTTTATTTAAAACAGTAACACGTCACGCTATGGCTGCAAAGAGACAGCGCCCATATTTCATGACACATTCTCAAGGACCCTAAAACTTTCTGAAATATTCCTACAACCTCCCAAAAAACCTTACTCAAGCAATCCTAAAACTACAAGCACCCCAAAACCGCCTCAAAGATCTACTGATCTTCCTATAGCACCATTTGAGCGTCTTCAGTTTACACAAACACTCTCAAAACACCTCAAGAGCCTCCTAGAATATCATGTCAATCTCCTCAAGAACCCTTGGGGACACAATGATTCTCTTCAAAGACCTTATGAACCTTCTGAGACATTCCTGACACCTGACTCCACCTCTGCAACCTACTCAACACAACTGAAAGCCTTCCGAAAACCACCAGAATGATCCTTATACTACTTCAAGAACTCCTTGGTCACTTCAAGTACCATGAAAATCTCCTCAAGGACCCCTAAAAACTTCCATGAGAACTCCCAGGTCCACCTCTAAGACCAACAGAACCTTCTCAAGGATAATGACCACAAGGGCCTATGTGAGGAACCCCTGGAATGTCATAAAGCACTCCTTGAGCCTTTTCAAGGATCCTTCAATGTTTTAAAAGTCTACTTAAATCTAGAACCATGACAAGGATCCCCAAGCCTCGTCATGGTCCATTTGATCCTACTCAAGAATCCAATGGACATCAATGGCCCTAAACCTCCTTAAGGACCACAGATCATCTTCAAGGAACCACAGGAGAACCTACTTAAAGATCCTAAAATCCTCTTCAAGGACAACTACAATGCGCCTAGGGGAATTCTTAGAATGTCCTCAAGCACACCTTGACCCACTTTAAGGACCACAAAAACCTGTTCAGAGTCAACAAAGAGCCTCCTGGAGCACTTTCAGAACCACGACAACGGGTGCTTTTCATAATGCTAACTGATGCGTTCTTGCGTCCTCTCTCCTCCCAGGAAATCATTCCACCTTGACCATCATGAAGGATCTTCCAATCCCTTTAATGCTGCTCAAGGAGACCAAGAGAGAGAAGGCCCCTGGCACCCAAATTTCTCCAAAACCTCCCCAAGGATTAGTTAAAACCTCTAAACTTTCTTAAGGTTCCAAATTTGACCTCAAGGAATACTGGGGCCCAAGTAAGGACACTTAGAAGCTCCTAAAGGAACCCTACACCCCCTCAGGCACCTCTGAAATCATTAAGGACCCCTGGAATGTCCTCAAGCGTTCTTTCAAGACCTGCTCTGAGCTCATGAAGTGGATTTTTAGCTGTGCGACGCCCTCTGCAGGTGAAAACTGAGCACTGCTTCAGACAGCACACCTGGACTGTCTACAAACACACTCAGGTAGCTGCTGATCACATGGGCTGGAAAATAAAATTTCTTTAAAGCTTTGAGCCGACTCATTCATTTAATCTTTTTTAATGACTACAACATGTTAAAACATCAAATTAAAAAACCTATGTTGTGCAAGAATAATAAAGAAGCTGCAACAATATTACAAAAACAAAGTTATTCCACTCAGCTGTGTGTGTCCACATGATTCAATCAAAGGTCTGTATCCCTGATGATGAACCTGACTTGTGATGACCAAAGGGACCAAGTTGTTCTCATAAAGATTTTTGGTAAACTGTGCCACGACAGAATCAACGTCTCAGCCACATGAAAGATCTTGTTTTGGCTTTTTCAGCATAAATGTCGCTGCATATAAACCGCAGGGCTGCAAATAATTATTTTCATTATTGATTAGTCTGCCCATTATTTTCTGGTTCGTTTTACATGACCAACAGTCTGAAAACCCAGAGCTACTCCGTTTATTAACATGTATGACAAAGAAAAACATCAAATTCTCACATTTAAGATGCACAAAACCAACAAATGTAAAAAAAAATATTAAAACTATTATTTGGTTATCAAAACAGTTGCCAATTAATTTTCTGTTGATCAACTAATCGATGTATCGACTAGTCGTTGCAGCTCTATCATCCATGTTTGTTATTTGTTTATATATGTTGTATATATTACGGTTATATATATATAACGAATATTTTACAATTACATATGCTGTTTATTTTATGTTTATATATATTGTACATATTAGGTTTAAATATGTTGTATATCTTAATATTTTATACATAATATAACGATTCTAAACACTGCAGACATTTTACACATCACGCAAAGACAGAATAAGTAATTATATATTTGTGACCCAGCTCGACTGTGTCAGACAGGTTTAATAAAACAATGATCTCTGATCACTTGTCATTAGAATTTGTGCTATTTTGGACATTTTATTTATATTTCTATGATGACTGACTGATTGACTGATTGATTGGTTGGTTAATGACACAGATAACAGGTTTAACAGCTGAGACAGTTCAGGGAACAGATAAAGGTTTGTTACCTCTGGGTTCACATAGTGTCTCCTGATCACCTGCCACAGTCTGCATGTAATGAGCATGTGCACCAGCGAGCTCCCGATGAACATGATGAAACCGTTTTTGTGAACATCTGCGGACACAGACAGGTCGTTAACACGTTCATCCAAGATTCAAGACTTCAGCAACAGTTGGTCTGCAGCAGCACAAATAAGACGAGCTCAGAGCAGACAAATATGGCTTCTCTGGTGTTTTAAATCCTGACCGGACGACCTGTCCCGGCTGGTCACTGGATGGTGGCTGTACTCACTGTAGGTTTCGGTGGACGCCACGTATGTGAGCAGCAGCAGGCCGGTGTTCTCGGCAAGGCTGCAGAGGAGAGCCAGCCCGCTCAGCAGCAGCTCCGGCAGTCTTTTGGCAAAGCGGCCGCGGTAGAAGCTGAAGTAGGCTGCGGACACCAGGTAGCGCGGCGCCGAGTGCAGACCGATGCAGCTACGCCAGATGTAGCGCTCTGGAACACGACTGATGGCGGCACTAATGGACGGGAGGTAGTTTGATACCTGGAGGGTGACGACAAAAAGAAAGCAGATGTTTATTTCAGCTTTTTGAACAGGAAACACAGACAGGAGTTTTTCTTTATTCCATCTCATCAGTATTTTTTATTTTTTATTTTTAGAACGTGGCGACTCACATGACAGTGTGTAAACGTTGCGTCCTCAAAGTGGTACACCAGTGAAATGAAGAGGCAGGCGATGAGGCCGGTCAGAGGCAGCAGCACCGTCCCCACGGCGAAGCTGGTGAAAGGGAGCCGGATGAGGGGACGGTCCCGGTCCAGGCTGGTGTACGGCCCCTGGAGCATCCTGGAGAAACACAACAGACGCCGCCGGATGAGACGCTTAAAGCAGACAACAACATCACGTGTTTCATTACTTCAACCAGTGCCCAACTGTGACATACACAGTACAGGTGAATGCTTAGGGCGCTGTCATCCTTAGAGGGCACCACAAATGGGGGAAAAAAATCAAAATGTTTATCTTTTACTTTTCTTTTACCAGTACTGTTATTTTGACATATGACATGAGGCCACAAGAACATAACTACACAGCAAAGCCTTTCATGGTTCAGCCAATCAGGTGTCAGCAGCTCATTAACATTTAGTCATGTAGTTATGGTGAAGATGAGCTGCTGAAGTTCAAACGGAGCATCAGAATGATGAAGAAAGGTGATTGAAGTGACTTTGAACGTGGCATGGTTGTTGGTGCCAGACGGGCTGGTCTGAGTATTTACTGGGATTTTCAGCACAACCATCTCTAGGGTTTACAGAGGATGGTCCCAAAAAGAGAAAATATCCAGTGAGCCAAAATGCCTTGTTGATGCCAGAGGTCAGAGGAGAATGGCCAGACTGGTTCAAGATGATAGAAAGGCAACAGGAAGTCAAATAAGCACTGGTTCCAACCAAGGTGTGCAGAAGAGCATCTCTGAAGCAACAACACCTTGTCCAACCTTGAAGCAGATGGGCTACAGCAGCAGAAGACCACACCAGGTGCCACTCCTGTCAGCTAACAACAGGAAACTGAGGCTACAATTCACCAAAACTGGACAATAGAAGATTGGAAAAACCACATTCAGATGGAAGCATGGATCCATCCTGCCTTGTATCAACGCTTCAGGCTGCTGCTGGTGGTGTAATGGTGTGGGGGAGATTTTCTTAGTACCAACTGAGCATGGTTTAAACACCACAGCCTACCTGAGTATTGTTGCTGAGCGTGTCCATCCCTTTATGACCACAGTGTACCCATCTTCTGATGGCTACTTCCAGCAGGATAACGCACCATGTCACAAAGCTCACATCATCTCAAACATGACAATGAGTTCACTGTACTCCAATGGCCTCCACAGTCACCAGATCTCAGTCCAATAGAGCACCTTTGGGATGTGCTGGAACGGGAGATTCTCATCATGGATCAACTGTGTGATGTCATCATGTCAATATGGACCAACATCTCTGAGGAGAGTTGACCAGGTGTACCTAATAAAGTGGCCGCTGAGTGTACTTCAGTAGACTTTAGGGTCATCTATAAACCAACAATGAAATCTGCTGAGTCTGGTGTGCTATTCTCTCTTTTGTTGGGCCAAACCAACAGCGGTTTTTGGTCACGTGTCTTTTTACCTTTCCAGGTGATGGAGTCAGGTAACGTTATCTTCCTGGACTCTCCTGTGTTTTGGCTAACGGTTAGCTTCACACGGGAGCAGATGTGTCCGGTTGTAACGTAAACCACTCACCTTTACAGCTCCCCGGTGTGTCGCGACCCGGTGCTCCTCCTCACGGCCATCAGCACACCTTTATTTTGTGTTAATCCCACAGAGCTAATCTTGTTAGCTCGCGTTAGCGTCGGTAGCTACTCAGACAACAGCGTTAGCTAACGTTAGCGATAAACTTCAGTCGTCTTTAACGTGAAATGTGTCTTTAAATCTGTTAAAACAGTTTCTTAGTCAAAAATGTAACTTCTATAAAGCTGCTGTGTCAGTTTAATGTCACTGACATACTTTAAATCTCTTTATTTTCCGTTAGTTTAACGATTCTCTGACGGACTTTGCCTCACATCACCGGCATCAGGTTACATACCACTTCCGGCCACAACAACCTTCACAATAAAAGTCTCTCTTCCGCGTCTTTATAAAAAATAAAGCTATTGTAGAAATAAAAACATGATTTAAAAAAATAAAAATAATAATGATAATTCTTTATTGAACAGACATAGCGACATTATGTACACACATAACTGTCCATACAGGAGTACATATATACTAAATAAATAATAAATAAAATATAAAACAATATTAAAGGAAAATGAGAAAATGAAGAAAAAGGACGGAATACTGTCTCATGTGGAATTATCAAACACATCCTTAATTTTGGTTGCCTTTTTATTCTTAAGGCATCTTACTGTGGTGCCATATTGTTGTACCTCTGCTTGTCAAAGTGGAATTTTCCCAATAACAAAATTAAATGTATAAAACTTATAATCACAATATCTTTTCCCACCTACTTTCAAAACACATAAAAATATCTATATCCTGTAAGTGAATTTATTGCCCAGTTTGCTTTTTATATAACGGGAACATTAACATTTCCATTAATAAATAACAGCACAAAGACTCAAGGAAACATCAGCAACGCTTTAATAACCACAAACAATAAACATAACATAAACAAGTACATTAACATAACTAAAATTTAATTTTAAAAAGTCTGTATTTCAGGGGTTATTAATAAAATGAAATCATATTAATCGTTACAGCATAGATGAATGACATTACCCATTTAACAAAGGAGACAAATGACTTGTAGGAATGGCATAGTAATAAGAATAATAATGATAATAATAATAATAATAATAATAATAAATATATAAAACACATAATCTTAGTCTCAACATATAAAACTGAGACATAACTGAAATTAGTTTTTATCAGCTGATGTTCATCATCAAGTGTCTTGAAGAAAGAAAGAAGAAAAATAATTTCTAAACTAAATCAGCTGAAGCTGAGCTGCACCACACTGTGAAAGTATAAAAATGTATTTACACATTTTTAAATCATTATAACCATGATGACTGTCGCCACCGTGCTTGCATCTTTACCATGACCTTATAATAATTATAATACCACCAGTGGCAAAAGCACTTGGTGTAAAAACACTCTGTTACAGTAAAAGTCCTGCAATGAAAATAATCTGAAGTGAAAATGTGTTCATATAACTAAAATATAGTTTAAGTATTAAGATTGAAAATGAATTGTTTGCAAATGTAAACTATCTTGTCTGAGTGGTTAGGCAGTGGTGGAGAGTAACTGAGTATATTTACTCATGTCGTGTACTTAAACACAAATTTGATTCATTTCAATAATCATTAGTTAATAGGTACATTTTTATACTTTTAATGCTTTACTATATTTTACCGATCATACTTACATACTTCAACTAAATGAACATTTTCAACACAGGACCTTAACTGTAACAAAGTATTTTTACTGTGTGGTATTAGTGCTTAGACTGATTTGCATATTTCCTCCATCACCGCATCTTGACATAGGCTGAATCCAGACGTCCACCCTCTGGACCTGCACACTGAGCCCTCACAGACTTCAGTTGTACGCAGTGTGACGTATTTACTGTCATCATGTAACGTAGAGACTGTAAGCAGCTGATAGACAGCCCTCGAGACTGTTTTACTTGTTGCCGTGGAAACGTTAAACTGTCGCTGCTGTCATATTTATACATACAGTATGTCATATCAGTTGATGAACAGAGCTGAACTCATCTGTTCCTGCAGATAACAAGATATAAATCACGTTTACACTTCTCTGTGACTAAACAAAAATGTATGTATAATCTCTATATAACAGGCTGCACGTGATTCACAACAGAAATGTTTAAAATCAGGACTGTAACTCCATAAACTGACATTACTGACATTAAAAACCGTCAGAAACGGTCAGTTTTCCAGCTGATCACACTGCCCAGTCTGACAGGCTGCAATAATAAACTGTATTTTCAGTCCCTCTGCAGCCGGTACTTAAACATACCTCTGGATCATGATGTGGTTGAATATTACTTTTGGCCGACACACTTTAAGCAGCATTTTAATAGACCTAACTATCATCAATAACTATTTTACACATTCATATGTTTTTTTTCCCCAGCAGTTTAAAAACCCACAATGTCACCTCTGTATTACTATGAATTGTGGGTCATTAAATCAGTGAAGTCTGCTGAAGTCTGCACCCCAAGTGGACTCTCTGGGAGTCTGCAGGAAGTCCACTTAAGGCCCCTTGTGGTCTGGATGAATGTAGCTTTGGAGCACCCCCTGCAAAGTCCACGAATCTGCAAGTGTGGTGAAACCCAAACATTTGGATTCTACTGGATAAAAAAAAATTAGACACCTTATCTCGTAATTACGAGATCCTGATCTTGTAATTATGAGAAAAGATCTCATAATTAGCCTACGAGATCTTTTCTCATAATTACGAGATAAGGTGTCTAATTTTTTTTCTATCCAGTGAATGCAATGCACTTCTGTAGGATTCAGCCATACTAACAGTTACCTATTTCCGTGAAACAGAATGGATGCAGTACTCAAAGAGTACCAGCAGGTGGCAGCATGAATCTAACGGACTGATTTCTGACTGTGGAGGAAATCAACAAGTGTAAAAAGTCATAAACTTATTGAAAGCGGTGGCCGGATGTGATTGGGGGGCAGACAAACAGGCATTACTGGACATATCTAGGGCACTTTTGAGGTCAACACTTACTATGGATGTATCATTTATGGGGCAGCAGCTCAGACAACATTACAAACAATGGACAGATTACAGTACAGAGCTTTACGTGCCTGTGGATATTCTCATTTATCCAGGTCATTGTTATCTCAAGGCAATTAAATCGAACGCAACTGGACTCCGTTTTGTCTTAGAAGACGTTTCACCTCTTATCCAAGAGGCTTCATCAGTTCATGCTTGTCTGACTAGGCTGGAACTAGTCTGATGTCGTCAGACTAGTGTACACCCCTGCTCCCCCACACTGCTTTGGGGGAGCAGGGGTGTACATTCAGGAGTTTGGAGTACGAATGTCAAGACACCTGTCAGATCACTTGTCAGTATTCACAGCAGAAATGGGGGCAGCAATTATTAGCCTACAGTGGGTGGAGCAGGTCAGACCAGATGGCTACGGTTGAAAGCTTACAATCAACAAACATAATCTGGGAAGACTTGTTCACTGAAATACAGCATAGTTTGCTCAGGCCTCACAAGGGAGGCACTGAGGTGCAGTTCTGCTGGGTGCCAGCACACACAGGTTCGAAGGGTAATGAGGCTGCTGATGACCCAGCAAAAAGGGCACTAGAAAAGAATATAAGAGTCACAGTACCTTATGGAAAAGGAGAGGGTAAAACAATTATTAAGGCAAAAGACTTGGAAATATGGCAAAAAGATGGGAATATGACCAGAAAGGCCAGAAAATCAGTCATGACAAAAATCTTTAAAGAAAGGAACAGAAGAGCGGAAATCGTCACGATGAGGCTTAGAGTTGGTCATACTGGTCTGAATGATGTAATGAATGTAATGGGGAAAAATAATACTGACAAGTGTGAGAGATGTGGTGTGAAGGAAAATGCGGAACATATAATAATGCACTGTGTAAAGTATGCATCAGAGAGAGAGGCTGCAGAGGAGAGTGAGAGCAGCACGGTGTGAGTGGACTGGCTGGAATTTTAGGGACAGAGTGAGAAGGAGGTAAGATCAGGGATGTGAGGAAAGCACTTTTCAACTTTCTGAGCCAGTCAAGATTGATGGGTAGAATTTATTTATTTTATTTAACCTTTATTTAACCAGGAAGGGTCACATTGAGTCACAGTAACTCTTCTTCCAGGGAGTCCTGGCCAAGACTGGCGGAAAAAGTTACAAGTACACAAAAGACAAGACAATGGACACTAAAACCACGAGAACACAAGACTCACATACTAAACATACTAGAACACAAAGTCAATGAGAACACATTACACTCAGTAAGACACATAACAAGGTAAAACAGACTATTGAAAGGCACCAAGTTAGAAGCAGTGACACTGTTCAGTAAGGGTTGATTTTAAAAGGTTTTTAAATATGTTGAAAGGTGGAAGTGACTCCAGATTTAAAGGGCCAGTGTGTAATATTTGGCATGGTTTATTGCCAAATCTGAATCTGAATCTGAATCTGAATATTCTACCCATTAATATGTTTATATAAGTGTATAATCGCTATAAAATAAAATTTTATATTATATATATATAATTTCGCTATAAAAGTTTTCGTAGCCTTATAATTATGCTTTT